AAGAAAGATGTAATGGACATCATGAATGAAGGCTCTTGTGAAATGACCCGGTTCGTGCGTCGAGTCATACCTGGTACAGGGAATCCGACCAGAAATTTGCCAGGCAATGACCGAATCGCCGATCATCGGTTTAAAAGCCGATTTAAAGTCGAACATATTACATTTAAAAATTACCAAGACAAGTTTATCCGATACGATGATCTCTCGCCCGTAGAGAAATATGAATTGTACCGTTACGCTGTGTTCATGCTTACCTCGACCGTGTCAGCGAACAAACTCTCGTTTTTCAAGAAAATTATGAAATTCGGAAACAATGACAAAACTGAGGTGTGCCACATTCATCCGTTTATATTCAAAATCATGGATTTTATTAAAACAAAGCGTGCGAATTACCATGGTATATTTCGCTGCTCGGGGGATTACCGCGCAAGTACGCGCTTGTACGAGAGGTTCATCGCAGGCGACGTGTTCGATCTCAATACTACGGATGTGAGAAACATCGTTGCGTTCTTCAAGATTTATCTCAAAAAGAAAGTGAACGGCATATTCTCCTTCGATATTCTAGATACGCTCTACGAGACTGCCAAGCACAGATCATCACCATCCATCAACTACCTGCTTTTCTATCTTCCGTTCTGCTTTGTGGGCGATAAGAGGAGGTTTCTTATAGGATTGATCGATATGTTTAAGGAGATTGATCAACATAAGAATGAGAACGATATGCCCATTCCAAACCTGGTGCGGTGCATAGCACCCTCGTTGTTTCCTGATACGCGGTTGAAGAGCATTGAGACTGTGTTTTACCAGACGTGGGCCGTACAAAAGCTGTTCGACATTGATTTAGAGAAAGTGCCTAAGCCGCTTTTGGAGTTCTCACACGTTTACGTGGTAGAGAAGAGTTCGTTCTCGATTTGTTAAGAATGCAGGTTGTATTGGAACGTAATATGCACCGTAATGTGTAGGATGCCTGTGCTAGCGCTATGCAGATTTAAAGTACGATTCGCTATGCTGTATCAAATGTTACGAACAATTGATCAAGGCACGGATTATATACAGCCAACTTTTCGACATGATTGATTAATAAAGTACTTTTATTAATACGGGTGATCAGACATCACGTTCAGTTTATTATCATAAAAATGATGAATTTATGTATTTTACTTCTTATTTGCCGGATATTGGGGACGTTTACATCCATCGCAAATACATTACTCTATTTTAGGCAGTTTGATACAAATATTTACTAATTAAACGTTGACACGTTGAAGAGTATTAGACCGTAACGTTCTCCGTGGTGTATTTTGGTATGTTACTGTGCAAAAAATAGAATTACGCGTGGTTTTATGAACCTGTGAATGTCCCTACGTTGTTTATATTGCCATACTGAGCGTTTACCGCTTGAATTATTAAAAAGTAGTTGTTATGAATCGTATTCGTTCAAGGAGGTAAAGAAATGGTGAAATGTATTTGTGAAAATAACAATCCTTTTTAAACACTAAACAATTTAATTAAACATAACGATTAAAGTGTATAGTTTTATATTTGCTGTTCAGAGGCTATATTCTAGTTAGAGTTGACACGGTGGATATTAATTTAACCGATCAAATGAAGATATTGTTATGCATTGGCTCAAATAGACGGATTATACTTTAATAAATGAGGTAACTAAGTACAAAAAATGACATGTAAATAGAAACTCGGGCTAAAACTGAACTCATTGACATTCTCAACCAAAAAAGTTCCCTAACCGAGAATCGAACTCGGGCCGCCGGTGTGAAAGACCGGTATCCTAACCACTGGACCATTAGGGATTACACCTATAAATTATGTTTGGTAATAACACATGTTGCTGTTGTAATTTTGATGAAGGCGTTATAACTGATTACAAAGAATATTAGTAGTACAAGAAAATTTACGAATATAAGAATTTACTCGTTTATTTGGGTTTGGTTTCGTCTGTATAGGGCAAAGAACTGTACAGCCTGTCTAAATCTATTTTTAACAACAAAATAGCACACCATCACCAAAAGAACTAAAATAATTTCTAAAAATAATAGTCCTATTGTAAATAACAGTACATCAGAATCACCAAATGACCATATAACGGTGTTCTGGCTATTAGGAGATGTTGTTTCTTTTATAACCAGCGAATTGGTTACCGGTTCATATGTGGTTTCGTTTGAAAGACGCATTGCTATTTTACTTTGTCTCATTAAATATATTTGTTAATACATGTCATGGCCTGTAAAGCACATATTTGGAAGGAGGGACGGGCAATTAATTTTTGAGATCTAAATGATTGAGTGATGCCAATCTGGATAATTAAATGACATGCTTTTGAAGTATTAACAGGTAGAGAGCTTGAATGCTGAGTATCAAAACAAAAATACTTACGTTACCTGGAAGATAATTAATAACTAGGAGAATAAGCGGCATCTAAATTATATTTTATTGTTCATCTGTAACAGATTTGATATAAAGGTAGATCTATATGTCTTTTGGTTGGTTTTGATTGATTTTTTATGATATGCTCGCAAAAATCATTTTACGGTGATCTGCAATATAAAAGTTTCATTGATCCATTATATAATTTACGTATTATCAGTGATCAAACAATAAAATACATAATTATTTACCGTATTCTTGTGTTAAATACCAGCAGAACGATATTACGAAGATAATTATTGCGCATGTTTAAGCCTATTATACTATTTCATTTGTAATTTACATGTCATTTTATTAAATTTTAGTGAAAGGCTTCATTCATGGTAATAAAGCCATAAAATATTCGCAAATCTGCTTTCATGGTGTTATCTCATAACTATAAAACGATTACTGATTAAGTGTTTGGTGGTCGTAGTAGAAGTATTTTACCGTTTTTGTCTTAAAAGCATATTTATCTATTAACCTCAACAGCTCAACGTACGTGTTCTAAGTTTTTAGAACTAATTATGATTTCTGGCCCCATTTAAATTAACTTTTCTTTCTTGGATATCATTCCGTGGAGTCATTCCTAATCTTCTAGATGGATTATTATAAATAATATTTGTCATGACAATCAAAACGAGTGTTTATCGATCAAGCATTATATTATTGATCTCGAAAACAATGACCCATCCCATTGCTAATTATAACTAATATCCCTATTCGTTACTTATACCTAAATCTTTGACAGTTAATTGTTACTGACCGGCATTAAACCTATGTTCTGAATTATCCCTCAAAAAGCACAAATTTTTTACCCATTTATACACTGCCCCAGAATGTCCCAACAGCCCAACACTGACCAGCTTCTTGCATCCATTCTAGAACCGGCCTCATTGACAAGATTTAATCGTATCAAATTGTACAATAAAGATCGTGCTAAAAAGATAGAAAATGAATTAATTAGACTTTATAAAAGTGGGCGTGTGCAAAGACAGATAAATGAAGATGAATTCGAAGAATTTGTGAGTAATTTGTGCAAGGAAAATGCACCACGTATTGTCGTGATGAGAAAACGAAATGAAGGGGACCTGTAAATCAGGCGATGGTATTAAAAAATATTTCACTACACGATTGGTAAGGATATTATAACATACACACTTAAATAACATTTTTGGGCAGAGTTTATTGTTTTTTACTGATTTGGGCTTTACATCACAAATAGTTGTGACGTTAGTTACCGCTTCTTTTAGACAAATTTTTTTCATATTAATAAAATAATTGCGTGGAAACATGTTCGTACGCTCATAAATTGATTATTTCTCATAAACAAAAATATTTTATTTGTATTACGCCGAACGTTTGATTATAATTTGCATGCATAATATTTGTTGCTAGCACCAATTGCAATTAACGTATGTATTGTGATTAAGACTATTTTTTTGTTATTTCTTTGAAATAATCGTTTACGATTCTATTCAGGTAAATGTTTTCTTCGTCTTTTTTATACCACCCCCGAATGGTTTGAAGCTCTTTTTCTAGAAGATGGTGGTACGCCTCATGAAAGAACCCCCTTAAAATTAAAATTTTTAGAATCATCACATCCTCTTTCACGATGCATTCAATAAAATTATAAAGTTTCCCCATGTGTTTGGTGTTATCTAGCCATTTCTGCCTGTATTCTTCGATAAAATAAACTAGAACTAATCTTTTATCGTTTTCCAGTTTATATCCCGTTTTGTTTTGTAAGTATTCAATAGATGCTTTGAAATATGGTAGCGCTTCGCATTTTATAGGGATTTTAAGAGGATCATTAAGGAAATTAATACTTTTGTCTTTAAAGGATTTTTTGGGACTAATTTGTATAAGATGTAATAAACTGTCAAATTGCGGAAAATAATAATCTAATTTTTTGATGTAGGCTCGTACTTCTTTGTACTTACTGTGCACTATCATCTTACACAGATAATCGTAATCGAGTGCATTAAGAATTTTTGTGGCTGTATCATAATCTAAACCGATACATTTAAGAAGTAACATGAAATACTTGTGCTGCTGTGTTATTTGTCTCTCGTCTTCCGCGAATAGCTCGTTAATCGACATATTCTTTATTCTTTGTTCCATACAAATGAGCGTAAGAGGTGTTAATTCTTGTCTGTTCTGAAGAACCTGTAATTGCTCATTTGGGTCCAAGCGTATGGCAAGATCATAGAAATATTGTATATCAATGTTGGCAATACCAGACATACTCTTTTCAAAAAACATAAAAAGGAAATACATCTTTAGATGACACACGCTTATGGTGTTACGTTTAATAATTTTCTTTATACCTAATCGTTTTAAAACATGCTTAAGCACCTTTGTAGGCGAATAATCAAATAAGGGGATTGTATTAGCACTTTTATCATAGAGCGAGATTATAAAACTTCTAGCTTCGGCATTTTCTGATAAGTATTTGTTAATTTTTGTCAAGTTCATTGCTGACCGTCTAAATCAAGGGGCTAGTAAAAGAACCGTTTACAATTTATGTATGAAAACACGATGGAATATCGGTAAGGCGCTTGTTAAGAATTTTAAAATCTGCATCATACAGCTTTACATGAATGCACTAAAAAAATACATACGTTAATATTATCTGCTACTATTGTATATTTAGTATATGCTTATTTGTATTATCAACTGTTTAATTGTATTAAATGCACGTATAGAATGATGTGTCACGTTCAACCTTTTCGTTCCCATTGCTAATATAAATGCGGCATTACATATCAATCGGGTGGTGTAATATATTTAAAATATGCAAATTATTTACAACTATTCATTAATTATTATTTTATTCTAAGTAATTATGTTAGTACGGTGGTTATTAATGTATATATCAGCATATATAACATTGAAAAGTATTTGTTTCGTTTTTAAATGTTTTTATAAATATAAAACCATATTCAACTCAATTATTAAAAATTAAACGTTTATCCGAAATTAACTTGTAGTGATGATAAATAAAAATACTTTTAGAAAAGACAACCCGAAATTTTCCTACAAAATTTTAACGCTTGATTCAAAAAACAACTATTTTTTATAGCTGTTTATGTTTACTTGTAAAAAGTTGCGGTTTCGTATGGTGCATTACGTACAGTTCATATATTTTTTTAAGATTGTTTAATTTGTTAAACCACTTCTCCATTTAAATATCGTATAATTACACATATTAATTTTTTTCAATGAATCAAAGATAGCTTGTTGTACATAGCTCTTATTTCATACCGTAGAATTAATCATACAAATGTAACATAACATTAGAATGAAATGCGGCTACAGTAAAGTATTCGAAAGAGATTTATTCGATGGCAAAATTCAGATTTATTACTGTTAGTCATAAACTAAATAATTCCTCTTTTACTAAAGTCAGTTTAATTATCTCCTTCATATTTACCACCTAACAAACAACACTCTTCTGGTCCGCTGGGACCGACCATGGCCACGACTAAATAGCACATATAGGTCGGGAAATTTTTATTGGTTCGCTTGAACATTTTGTAACGTATGAAATGTGCTAAATTTATATATTTTTATGTTTCCGTAGTAAAAAAATCTTTTAAATGGTGACAACTATTGTTGTCGTAGCGTCGCACGCCGTTTCATAGGTGAAAAATGTTCTGTCTCATGAAAAACGCAGAAGGCTTAAATAAAGTTAGTTATGACTGTGAAAATTAACTAAATCTTATGTCAGATTTAAGTATAGTAAATTCCTTTGGTAAAAACGGCGATTGACCTATAGAATATGAAAAATAAATGTATTATTACATAATAACAACGTTGAAAAATAAGTTATCATGAGTTATGTTCGTGTAATGGTATTTTTTCCGTGTTTTATGGCATATCCAATGTTTGCAGGTCAAAGGATGGGCTTTCCTGTGTTGTCATGGTTTAAGATCTACTTTAGCGTTATTGCTTTCTGTAATGAAATAAAACCTCATAGCTGCCTTAAGGAGATGCTAGATACTGCAAAATTGAAGAAATGTGCAATATAATTGTAAATATCTAATTAGGTGCTATTTATTGTGCGAAGTTGTAAAACTTTTCAATCTGTATCGTTTACGACATAATAAACGTTCCTACTTTAACTATTGTAATTTATACAGCCCATTTCACACACTTGAAGATGTTTTAATTGTGTTACAATAATGATTATTTAGTTCTTAGATAAAAATCAATTAAGTAATTTTTATCATATTTTAGTTAATCCTCTTCTCAGTTATTATCGTTATAATAATAAACATTCGAATTCTTATCTCTCAACCTCTCACAAATAAAAATATTAAACTGAAAAATGTCATGTAAAATTGTGATATAAGTAATAGTACGTTTTATGACAAATGCTTTA